AGGAGTATAGACGTGGCTAAAGAAATTGCAAAGCACAAAAAAAAGATAACTCTTGCCTGAGAAATGTGGGTTAAATCATTTCAAAGTTGGTGAAGAACCACTGATAAGAAATAACTTGAATCAGTTTCTATATATATATATCACACAATTATGACATATCCTTTTAGATTATTTCCTTAATTATTTGAGCATTTCAATACTGCTAGAATAATAACTGGTAATTCCAATGGTGCTAAACTAATACCTAAATTGGTATGTACTAAAATAAAAGTTCCTGTTTTACCTATACTTGTGCACACTTTCATGTCTTGATGAGGCACTTGGACAAAAGAATGAGATTTAAAACAGTTTCTTTAAAAAGTTAAAATTTAAAAAAAAAACTGTATACCAAAATGATAATTAACAGATCTTCAACTATTCATTGAAAAACATATCACATAGCCAACGACTGTAATAAATCTTCAAACAATAATAAATACACTACTGCATGAGTAAACTAAAAGGGGGATAAGTACTTTGATACTCTAACACTATTTTATAATAAGTACTTTGCACCATCTTCTAAAAGCTAAAGAAATATTGCAACTGTCTATATTAATCCTGATTTTTGTAAACATTAAGCATTTCCTACCTAAAATATTACTATCATTTCTATCACTTTTGAAATGTATTACCTGTGTATCATAAGCTACAATATGACCTGTAATCTAAACCAATATATACACAATATATAAGTGTCCAAATTTATGTAATTTTTGTCAGAAAAAGAATAAAAAATTAGAAATTTTGGACATCAAATCTTCTGATAGGATTTAATCATCATTAAAATTGCATCATGACCAGAAAAAATATTCAGCAGTAATGTGGCACAAAAGCAGAATTTACTTGACGATGAACTTACCGGCAGGTTTGTAGACTTTACATTAATATTCATTATTGCAGACAAGTGACATTAATTCAGCTCAAAATTATTTACCATTTTTACAGAATATATCTTACAAGATATTATTTACAAGTACTTATTAGACTTTCAACAAATACAAAGTATATGCAAAAAAAAAAGCATTGTAGTTTGTAACAAAGTCACCTTACATATCCTTAACTAGTAAAGCATTGTAAACATATCAAATACTCTGATCTGCTGGGATAATTTTGCAGCTCACTTTTATTCAATTTGATAATGTCTTGCATGTAAAGAGCCATTGTTCTTAAATAAATGTAGGTTGTTTTGCAACCAAATGAATCAATTTCCAGCATTCCCAGCATTTTTATATATATGTCAATCATTACCCATCTTCACAGTAATGATGAAATTGCTCTTAACAGGGTATTGTTATGAACTAAATATATCAGGCCAGCATTCCACCAATGATTTGTAATTACAGTCATCTGCACTAGCAGAGACATAGATTAGGGTTTAGATTACTTAGGAACTCTTCAGATAAGGTTGGGTTTGGTTAATCCTAGGCTGCACATACAGCATATCTGTTTTGCCTTTAGCAGTATAGTACACACTAGACATCAGGACAACTTTGATTTGTTTGGTAAAGAACAGATTTGGCCTCAGCAAAAAGTTATGTGCTGGATTAGGAAATGCTGCATATGATTTTGAGATATATAAGGTTTACATTAGGTTTAGTTGAGGCATGGCCAGTTCTAGAATAACACAAGGTTGTGCAGCTATTTATCAGCCTGACTGAGCCAAAGAAGTTGTTCAATGGCATAGCAATGACTATCTATATAACTACGCATAAAGTGGTTATTAATGAATTATGTGATCATACCAAGAGTTACTGCCATGAACATTCTCAAAATAGTCTGTGCATATGAACAAAGAAGGAAGAAACTTTATTAGTTTGTTTGACAATATATATAGTTTGTGAGGGTGAGTGATAAAAATGTGGTGACATTTTCTTGGATTCATTATGTAGCTAAGGTCAATCTCAATGCACTTGATCTTACAAGTGAAGGATACCTTAAACATGAGGAACAGGATTCATGACATTTAGTTAAATTCTTTCCAAATCATTCTCTCTACATTTAATATCTTACTGGTTTGCCACAGAGTTACAATATCAGAGAGAGAGAAATGGAGGGAGGGGGTGAGTGTGCACACCAGAGAGATACTGGTTCATCACAGCCAAATGTGATTGATGAAGCATGTATATTTATAAACCATGGTTAAATATATTCCATGAAGTAAGCAAGAGCTGTTTTTATGTATAATATTGTAAGGCTTCTAATACTGAAAGCAAGGGCATGCTCTGAATGAAACTGTTCATTCTGCCATTGGCTGAAGTGACATGAGAGGTTTGAAGTGAAGAACTATGATGTTATAATGTCATAATTTAAGTGTATATCACAGAATTGTGAGCTCTTAGATTTCAGAAATGAATATTGTATGATTGTTATTCCAGTCATCAAAAGAACTCAAAATGACATGCAATAAATGGCAAGAAGCTACAATGCAAAACTCTTAATAAGTGAATTAGTGAGGATACGGATTAATGCTTGAAATATGTTTTGTATATGACTCATAAAGTCTTATCAGTTACCAACATGAGTTACTGTCATACCCATTCTCCTAATTTATCTTTCGGTTCAGAGTTCTCTGTCTCACGTGACATCTCAAGTTCTGATTTTGGCTTTTCTTCTGCAATTGGTTCTAAGCTAACTGTGGACATATTTTCGAAAGGTTTTTCTGCAATGGGTTCTAAGTGTCCTCCTGTCATAGATTCAAAGTGCCTCTCTGGTACTTTCTCAGCAATGGATTCTAGATGCCCTTCTGACACTTTCTCAGCAATAGGCTCTAAATGTCCTACTGTCATTGGCTCATAGTGTCTTTCTGGTATAGTCTTTATTATATCATCAGCTACTGCATGCAAGTCTTCTTCTGCAGTGGCTGCTTTATGAGCCCCATCTGGTTCGTGAAACATGAAGGTTCCCCCTGGTTCCTCCGCAGCAGGCTTGTGAGGACTCAGTTCCTCTGAAGACATTGCAAAGTCTCCACTAAAAGGATGAGACAGGCCTTGATCCACAGGTGATTCACTTATGTGTATCTTACTAACGGGTGAGAATATTTGCTGGGGAGGAGATCTGACACTCTGCCCAGGAACATTTTGCTGATGAACCAAGGCAGCAAGGCTTCTGGACTCTCTGCACTGCTGTACAGGGGACTTGTGAGCTGGGGAAACAGGTTCACTAGCACTGACTGATCTGGAATCTTGGTTTTCGTATTTTGGATACGTAAACTTGCTGTACGGGGGTGTACCAGACACAGGGCTCTTGCTGCCACTGTAAGGGAGACAAGAAAGGTTAAAAGAAAGAAAAAGTTAAAGTAAAAATGATGGTGATACTAAACTTCAAAAGAAAAAGAAAAACATTGCAAAGGAGACTGGAAACACACCTGAAGCTTCTCAAAGATGCAGTGCTGCCATTGTCACCATGGATGGATGGGGTTGGGCTAAGGATCTTTGTCAGGGCTCCTTTGAAGTTCAGACCTCGCCGTCTCTTTCGGATCATGGACGCTGGAAATAATTTCTCAGTTTAGCTGCTTCAGTCATTAATATCTTTATATTAATTGTGGGATGAAACATTACATGCTGTATTACTGTAGCTGCAAATTTGCTTGCCAAGAGCAAATAAACATGAAAACTGCATAAAATTTTCCTCATTGTTTTTTCTTTTTCTTTCTTTCTCTTTTCAAGCAATTATCCCAAAGATATTTTGCAACTGTCAATAATCAAAATAGTTCTAGTTCTAGTTGACAAATTCCCTCAACTCCTTTGCTTATAAATATAATATCTTTGACTGATTTCTATTTTACATTTCTTCCCAAATTTCTCTACGTCACAAGCAGTATATGGCTTGCCATTTCCCAATAACATTACTCATTTTATTTGTTTGTCTGTTTACAAACAAGTGAAGTAAAGACAAGAAAATGAATGTTGGTGACTTGATAGTATAGATCTTGTGTTACTATTGAACTAAAGGCACAGTTACATTAAACTATAAAGCTGCTGAGAAAATGAGTTTCTACGTGATAAATGATGATACATATTCAACCTTCATATGAAAATACAGTCTATAGGTGTAATGATACAAGAAAGCCAGAGGTAAAAAGATCACCTGAGAAACTGGAGGACAAAGTTATTGATTAATATGAAACAAACATTTCAAGAAAAAGCATTTCAGACAAAAATTTGTTAACTGTGAAAATAATATTCATACAAACAGCATACAATTTTTTTTTTTTTTTTTTTTTTTTTTTAGAGAGAGAGAGAGAAGACAAACAGACTTTTGATTTTTTTAAATAATGAGTAATACATATCAAGAAAATAATTTCCACAATCAGAATAATAGCAAAGTAATTCCCAATACATCGCAAAAGAATAAAGAGCTGAAAGTTAATAGATTTATAATTAAGATAAAGATTAATAAAGACTATCTCATATGGAACAAACATGCTCACAATATGAATCTTTCTTAATCTTAGAATAACATGACAAAAGAGATTAGTCAAAATATTACACAAGCATTTTTGGAGCAAAATGAATCTCAATGGAAGTAAATATAGGCTAACCTAATACCTAATACTTTACCTATATTTATACTAACACTCCTGAATTCATCAAATATTTGGCATCCAAATAGTCACAAATAAAATTGTACAGTGTCCAGGCTATCCTTATTACATGCATTTCTGAAAATGGTTGATAAATTGAGCCAAGCACTGTAGTTAGGCTTATACTGAAATATCAAATTTACAGAGTATTCTTAACAACAACTGTAGCACAGGATTACTAATAATTTATGATATATGTGACTGTGTTGGGAGTGGGTGGTTGGGTCGCACTGGCATCTGCGAGGGTGGGTTTGAACTGAGAGATTGTTTTGTGTGTTGTGGGGGTATGTCGCTCAATGGATGGGCTTGTGGGTTAAATGGGTAGATCATTTTATGATGGGAAATATGGGTGGGTTGAATGTGTGCATGGGTGGTA